AACATGGCTGTTATTGTGTACAAAGTCCTCTTGGTTCTGCTCACTTCACTCATCATCAGACCATACAAGTCTTTCCAGGTTTTTCTGAAGTCTGCCTGCTCATCATTTCTTATAGCACAATAGTATTCCCTTACATTCATATACCAGAACTTGCTCAGCCATTCCCCAGTTGATGGGCATCCTCTCAATTTCCAATTCTTTGCCACCACAAAAAGAGCTGCTATGAATATTTTTGTACATGTGGGTCCTTTACCCATTTGTATGATCTCTTTGGGATATAGCCCTAGAAGTGCTATTGCTGGATCAAAGGGTATGCACATTTTTGTAGCCCTTTGGACATAGTTCCAAATTGCTCTCCAAAATGCTTGGCTCATTTCACAACTCCACCAACAGTGCATTAGTGTTCCAATTTCCACACATCTTCTCCATCATTTATCATTTTCCTGTTTTGTCATGTTAGCCAATCTGATAGGTATGAGGTGGTACCTCAGAGTTGTTTTGATTTGCATGTCTCTAATCAATAGTGATTTAGAGCATTTTTTCATATGACTATAGATGGCTTTAATTTCTTCACCTGAGAACTGCCTGTTCATATCCTTTGACCATTTATCAATTGGGGAATGACTTGTATTCTTATAAATTTGATTTAATTCTCCATATATTTTAGAAATGAGGTCCTTATCAGAGAGACTCGTTATAAAAATTCTTTCCCAATTTTCTACTTTCCTTCTAATCTTGGTTGCATTGGCTTTGTTTGTGCAAAAACTTTTCAACTTAATGTAATCTAAAGTATCCATTTGCATTTCGTAATGTTCTCTATCTCCTGTTTGGTCATGAATTCTTTTGTTCTCCATAAATCTGACAGGTAATCTATTCCTTGCTCTCCCAGCTTGCTTATAGTATCAGCCTTTATATTTAAATCATGAACCCATTTTGACTTTATTTTGATATGTGGTGTGAGATTTGGGTCTATGCCTAGTTTCTGCCATACTCTTTTCCAGTTTTCCCAGCAGTTTTTGTCAAACAGTGGGTTCTTATCCCAGAAGCTGGAGTCTTTGGGTTTATCAAACAGTAGATTACTATAGTCATTGACTGCTATGTCTTGTGTACCTAACCTATTCCACTGATCCACCTGTCTGTTTCTTAGCCAGGACCAAGCAGTTTTGATGATGGCTGCTTTATGATACTATTTAAGATCTGGGACAGCTAGGCCACCTTCTATTTGGGGTTTTCTTGGCAGAGATACTGGAGTGGTTGGCCATTTTCTTCTCCAGCTCATTTTACAGATGAGGAAACCGAGGCAAACAGAGTGAAGTGACTTGCCCAGGGTCACCCAGCTAGGAAGTGTCTGAGGCAGGATTTGAACTTGGATCTTTCTGGTTCCAAACCCATTGCTCTACTCATTGTACCGGCTTGCCGCCTTTACCCTTGTCTGTATCTGTCATGCTGGTCTGAGCTGCCACGGATTGACGTTACCGAGACTCAGCCGGGGTCCCCACCCCCGACCTGCTTCAGCAGATTTATGTGTAGTTTTGATCACATCACGTTTTACAGGGATAGATAATCAAATCCCCGGAAATATTAAAAGTGCAGCATCAAACCTAGAAGAAGCAAACATTACCTATGTGTGCTTCGGTTAAAACTAGACCCATTACGATGCCTTGGCTGTAAACCACTGAGGAGACAGTGGCTTCTCCCACGTTCTTCTTGGGCTCGTTCCCATCGCTCCCGATTCCCAGGTGGTCCGGGTCTGGGTCCCCAGTCCAGACCATCAGTTTGTCCCCAGGCGAGCCTGGCTCAGACAGACCTTCCCTTTCAATAACATGGTGGCATCAGCAGGTCCCATCCTCCCAGGGCCCCCTCTCCAAGCGTCTGCAGGATGCCTCGTAGCTGTGGCTGAAGCTGATGCTGACGCCGGCCCTGGCTGTTGGGAAGGCAGCGGATCTCTTTTCAAAGGGCTTGGGATGTCTGGAATGGGGGGTTCTTGCTGACCAGGATTACCGAGTCTGCTCTTAAAGGCTTCTGCTCATCCTGGATCTGTCAAATTTCCCCGAATCTCTGTTTTTTCTGGCTCTTGGACAGCTTCACAGGTGTAGACTAACATCGTGCCATCGGGGACTCCTCACAGCTACTGGTTCAGTAGCTTCCTGTATCAGGCTGGGCCCCCTCCTCAGCAGAGGGCGTTCCATACTGGGCAGGTGGAAGCTGGGCCCTGGGAGCTGACTTTTCTGCTGGCCTTTACCACCCCCTGGTCACTCCCTTGCTCTAGGCTCTGATAAAGAGATGGATTTTTTGTTTTTAGGGTTTAATTTTTTTTTTTCAGTTAAGAAAAGTCAATTTTTTCTCCATCTCCTCCTATGGGGGAAGAAAAAAAATAGAAAGAAAACTACGTAACAAATGTGGAAAGTCAAGCAAGACAGATTCCCACACTGGCCATGTGCAGTAAAGTATCTGACTCGGTCTCCACCCTCAGTCTGTGCCCATCAGTTCTGCCATGGGACGGCAGTAGCAGCTGCTCTCTCGGGCATTGGTCTGGGCATTGACTGGTGCTCTGACGCCTTCCCAGGTCTTGGCTGCGCCGCGGTGTCCTCCCCGGACGCCGCGTTCTTCCCCCCGCTCTGCTCACGTCTCCCCAGCCCTGCTCATGGCTCCCCGTCCACACGGCCCTCAGCCAGCCCCAGTGATAGATAGCCCTCCTCTGAGGCCCCAGACCTCTGCCACCAGCCAAGCCATCAACGGTGCCAGAAGCAGCTGTGTGCTTATGGTCCTTGGTTTCCTTCCTTTCCAGGCTGCCCCCCAGACCTTCTGCTCCAGGCTGGGGACCATTGTCCCCCCGTCCCCATCCTTCACTTCCTTCTCTGTGTTGTCTTTCCCCGTTAGAATGGAAGCGCCCTGAGGAGAGAGGCATGTATTTGTGTTCCCAGCAGCTTAGCACCCTGCCTAGCAAAAGTAAGCACTGGCTGATTGAATGGCTGAACGAGGAAACAGAGGCCCCAGGTAGTAAGCCAAGGATGATCCACAGCCCTCTGCAGTCTTCGTGTGTCGATGTAGCCCCAGACATCATCCCTGGACCGTCCCTGTCTGAGGATGTGCCCGTCACAGGGCAGTTAAGAAGGCCCTCTCTTGTCAGACATGCTGGCCGTCCCCAAGCTCAGGAGGACCGGCCAGAGCTTGTGCTCAAGAGCTCAGGGTCCCTTCACCTTCAGAAGGAGGCACCAGGTAGGGATGTCAGCCCAGTCCTTTCTGCCCCAACTCGGGGATCCACGTCAATCACCGCGTGTCATCCTCACCACGTTTGGCAAGTGGGGAAACTGAGGCACCAAGCGGCCTTGCCTTCGAATCAGCCTTCTGTCGCTAAGGGTCAGAGCCAGGACTCCAGCCCACAATTTGGAGCTTTGTCTTAGACAACGTCAGGCCCTTCTGTCGTGCCAGACGGTGCAGAGAACGCTGACTTTGGAGTCAGAGGACAGAGGTTCAGATCCAGCCTGCGTGACCTTGGGCAAGTCACTTGCTCCTCTGTAAGATGACAGGGTTGGCCTTGTAGGGAGGGAGTAAGCATTCCTGCACATTGATAGCATCTTCCCTGTGACTGCTGGGTGCCACCAAGTCATCTCTTCCCCTGGCACTTTCCCCTGCTGGGCCTCACCCCAGGAACACGGCGACAGGCGAGGTCCCCACTGTCCACAGAAGATGAAATCAGACCTTCCAACGTGACGCCAGCGATTACTTAAGCCAGGCCCCTCCTTTTACCAACAAGGTTGTTGGGACAGCAGGGTGGGAGCGCAGATATAACCAGGAGGACTTGGGTTCAGATGCTGCCTCCGGCTCTTACTGGCAGTCAACCTGTCTCAGCCTTAGTTTCCTCCTCCATAAAATGGGGGCAACATCACCTGCCCCAAAGGAGGCAACGTTTCCGACGCCCTTTGTGGACCTTCGAGCTCTCCAGACGGGCCCACTCCTCATTAGTCAGCGAGCGTTGGCCATGGGCCAGGCTCTGTGCTAGGTGGTAGGGATGTGGCCGAAGCAGAGACTCATTCTTTGTGAGTGAGGAGCCCAAAGGAGGCCCGTGTTCCAAATCCCATGCCTCGTTTGGCCTTCTATCACCAGTGCCTCTCACAGCGCCTGGCACACAGTTGGTGCTCAATAAATGCTTACTGTATTGAATCCCCTTGCCTTCATTCAGCCTTCGTGGCCCATCTGTTTTAATTTTTAGACACTCGATTTACTGCCGCTTCTTATACCGCTAGGTGGCGCCATAGTGCGCAGAGCACTATGCTGGGAATCAGGAAGACTCTTCTCCCGGAGTTCAAATCCAGCCTCAGACACTTACCAGCTATGTGACCTTGGGCAAGTCACTTCACCCTGTTTCCCTCAGTTTCCTCCTCTGTAAAATGTGCTGGAGGAGGGAATGGCAAACCGCTCCAGTTATCTGCCAAGAAAACACCAAAATGGGGTCACAGAGAGTCAGACACAACTAAAATGACTGAGCAGACACACTTGTGCCACTGGCCCCCCTCCCCAGAGAAACCACGGCTGAGCCCCCTTATTATAAAAGTTCGGTAAACCAGCTCTCTTTCTCAAACCCAGAGGGCCCCCACCAGTCTGGTGGGCCCCCCCAAGACAGAGACAGCAGGCTCCCTGAGAAGCCCAGGTGAACGGGAGGCAGGCTACTGCTGAGGGCTCTGTCCACGGGGAACGGGCCGGGGCAGCCCTGGCGTAGACGCCCTCTGCCATCCTCTGGGCCTCCTGCAGCTGCTCGCGGGGTGGAGACCGGCCGTGGGGCTCCCGCTCTGTAATCACACTAGCGTTTTTCCCCAAAGAGAAAATCCCTTCATCCATCATTTTAATTTCATGTTTTACCACTTCCAAATGGAAATTCTGGCTTTGTTTTTAATCAGCTCGTGGCATCGTGTCAAGGATTTGTAAACTTGTGATGGGGTGGGGGGAGATTGAGATCAAAACAGCTACAGACTTCTGTGGTTTCTCTCTGGTTCCCCAAGGTCGCGTTCCAGAAACCAGACATCTGAACTTGGAGAAGGTCGGAGTGACGCTTCACCCAGACTCGCAGAAGATCCTGGTCAGCGCCAGCGAAGCAACTTCTGTAGCGCATATCTACGCCATCGGGGACATCACAGAGGTACGCCCCCTCAGGAGGGACGGGGCCATGTACAGAAGCCCCTGTCACCCCCCACTGCCCGCTAACCCCGGGCCAGACGGCTTCCATCAGCTGATGCTACGGCCGCAGCCTGGGGCTCATTCAGACCCAGCCGGGCATTGTGGCGAGCACACTTTGTCACCCTGAATTCAGAGAGAGGCTTAAGTCCAACCTCCAAATGAGATGATTTTTACCATAAGCAGACTGAAGAGAGTGGGAAACGATGCCTCTTAAAATGGGACTTATGCTGAGTATGGCAGAGTTGTGATGTGGAGACAGTGTGCCAAAGATTGGTAAAGCCTGTAGCCCAGTGCCCGGCACATAGTAGGTGCTTCCTAAATGCTTCTTCCTCCCTCCCTCCTTCCCTTCCTTCTTCCTCCCTCCCTCCTCCCTTTCTTCCTCCCTCCCTCCCTCCTCCCTTTCTCCCTTCCTCCCTCCTCCCTTTCTCCCTTCCTCCTTCCTTCCTTGGTTCTCTGTATCTTTCGTGTGTGGAAAGGCCCTGAGGCCCACTACTGCAGCCTCTTTCTCTGACGCTAAAGCCCCTGCCCGAGCCAGAAGTGACAGCAGGGTCTAAGGCTGAGCCTTGTGTTGCTGAGCCCAAAGCTCTTTCTACTCTGTCCTTGTGGGGTGGCCTTGGACCAGTCACAATCCCTTCCCAGGCCTCTGGTGGCTCCTGTCTAGCCTCGGAGGGCCCTTCCAGCTTTAACGTGCTCTCTGTGGGGCTTGTTTTTAAGTCTGCTTTCCAGTAATAGATGTTTCTGGACAGCTGTTTCCTAATCCGAGTGGATAAGGCACATTTGCTTTGAGCTCTAAGGTGGAATTGGCATTTCCTGGGCCTCTGGGCTGGAGCTGAAAGGGATCCAGACCCCCTCCCTCTCTGGCGGCCCAGGGTCTCACAAGCATCAGAGGCGGGATTTGAACCCAGGCCCCTCTGTCAGACTCCAGAGCCATGGTCTTTCCATAGGGCTGCACTGCCCCCTGACTCATTTCTCGGATACTGGTCCTCTTGGTGGACTTCCGTTTATTTCTGTAGTGCCCAATTTTGCCTCATTAGTTAGAGGGGTGGGTTGCTCTGCTCTTCGCAGAACACTCCGGCAGCCAGATGGAGCCCTTGCACCTTGGGCGGTGCCCTGGGGGGCTCTCCGCAGGCAGATGGTAAGCCTGGCTGCCCAGTCACTGGTGGCTGCCAGGAGGACAGAGGAGAAGCCCCTGGCAGGGCTCCCCTTCCTCCACTTGGGGGCCCAGGGCTTGAAGAGAAAGGCTTCTAGCTCTCAGCCTCACCCCCGGATGCCCTGGGCCTCATCTTTTGGGCATCCAAGCCCTGAACCCCACAATCCCAGGAGCTATCGCTTGATAGACAGCTCAGCCCCACCCTGGGCTTTCACTGCATGAGACCCAGTCATGTCCCCTGCACTGAATCCTGAGGTTCCCCTCTATCTGAGCCTGAACCCCATGGCCCCAGTGCCCCGTGGATCCCAGCAAAGCAGCCAGGAGGCTGACAGAGGGGGACAGCAGCCAGTGTGGGCTGCCGGGCCCCACGCCCACCCAACCCATTAGGGTGAGGGCCCTTAGCTTCCTTGTCTCAGTGAAACCTCTAGACCTCGTCTCAGAATCATGTTCTGAAACGCTTAAGACTCCATGTAGACTGTGACAGAGGAGACCGAGTCCATCGTGATGCCATTATCAGAATGTTTTTAAAACCAAGTTTTAAACAGGGCCCTGGATTAGGGGAAGCGTCAGAAAGGGTGGAGGAGACACCGGTGTTTGGACGCCATTCCTTATCATAAGACGCCATCCATATTGGGGGGGGGTCAGGAAGGAAAGAGCTGCCATAGAGTCCTGGCTGCCCCAAGGGGCTCCCTGGGGGGTGCCCAAAGGGTCTGTAGCAGTGGGATTAGGAACCTGGTATTTGTGAGTTATGTTGAATGCAAGACTTCACTGTTGATTAATCCAACAGCTGATGAGTTTTAAAATATCTCCAAGCCCTGAGCCTCCTAAGTGGGCCAGAATCAGATACTGATCCCGTGAAAGCATCCCCAGGGTGAGGGCTGCCTTCCCCAAAGGATCTCCCTCAGCTGCATGGTCCAGCTGGAGGAGGGAGGAGGCAGCACCTGCCCCTTCGATGGGGGGGAGCCCCCCACCCACTCTCCCATGTCCCACCAGGGCACTGCCCAGTAGGGTGTTTGATGGATGTCATAGGACAGAGGATTCTCTGATTGGAAAGGATTTGTTAGTTACAAAGCTGACAGTCATTTTCCTCAGTAAACAGTCAGACACGTTGTTACCAAGTAAACTAAAATGTGCCACCTTCCCCCCAAAAGAGAAGCACCTAAGAATTTGCTTTCACTGTTGCAGACTGCCATGGGGGGGCGGGGGAGAGGACGTGAAGCCTGGGATTGCAGTCATCTGCTCACCCATGGGCAGATGTTCCTGGGGAGGTGCTCTGCCTACCGAGCACCGGGAGAAGCACCTGAATGATCTAAACTGAATCAGACCACTGAGGGCTATTTTCAGACAGATGAGCCCTTCCAGTAAGATGTCCAGTAAGCTTCAGACACTAAGTGGCTCTGTGGCCCTGGGTAAGCCGCTTCCCCTCGGTCTGCCTCAGTCACCTCAACTGTAAGATGGGGAGCCCGGAGTTACTGTGAGGATCTGACTTATCACGTGCTTTGCAGTCCTCACAGCACCTTAGATGTACCAGCTACTGTCATTGTGGCGTCAGCTGTGGTTCTCATTCCCGTCCTGGGGTGACGTCCCAAGGAGGTTGGTGATGGCGAGAAGCCGCCCCTCTGGCACAGGTATCGTTAGCAGCATTGTCGTGAGCACCAAGGGCCAGAAATCAGATGTGTGCCTGAACACGGGGGGGTCGCTCTCCCACAGGGAGTGAAAAGGAGGAAGATTCAGGGAAACCGGGGAAGATTGGTGTGAACTGGTGCAGGGGAGAGTGGCAGAGCCCGTGACGGCGGCTGGCCAGCTGGGAGCGCCAGGCAGGCGCCGCTCTCTTAGATCAAGAAATGTAAAGTCACTTCCCCCTCCCTCAGTAAAAACCTACTTTTCCCTGTTGACTGTGGAGGTGTCCCTACTGTGTGGCCTCTCTGCGCCTGATTATCGGGCTCCGCAGTTGTTTGGGGCCTTATCTCCCAAGGAACACTCCTCTGCCCGTGAATGGGGTAGAAGACCTGATTATTTCAGGGGAGGCTTTTGTGTACATTCTGGGTGCACTCCACCCTCAGATAACACCATTATTCTTGGCCCTTTAACTCTGTGTACGTTAGAAAGCTTGCCTATCTGCAGCCTCTGGAGCCCAATCCTTGTCTCCCTTTTATCAGAGAGTGTTCAGCAGTGGGCTGAGAAGCAGCCTGCAGTCTTTAGGGGGTGCTGAGGACCAAGGCCAGGGTGAGTTGGGTCGAAAAAATCCATCTCTGTATTTCCAAGGGTCTTGACTTGTCCGAGGAATCCCTGGCTCCTGATTCCAGTAATGTTGGTGGGATCCTTCCGAGCAGCTCACACCAGTGGGAATCTGCCCGTGGATCCGGGCTTTGCCAGAAAGCAGTATTTAATTAGATCTTGTGCTCTGTATCCATGGGTGTTTCAGTAATTAGTCAAGCTTCGTGGTATGCGAGGCATCACTCTCACAATTTTATCTGCCCTTCCGATCTCTTGTTCATCTGTGGAATGCCAAAACAGCATCTGTATTTCCTGCTCCAGCAGTGATTGGCAGCGGCGTCTCAGGCACACGTGTGGAAGGCTTGTCTGGCCAATGGCCTGCGCGGAGTGGGATGGCAAAGCGGTGGCTGGAGACTGGATGGGTCTGGGACGAAGCAGGGAGGCCTGGGATTGAGGAATTTCTCATGGCCTGGCCAGGAAAGGGAGGATTTTAGTTTGAATCCTTGTGGGTAACAAGGATGGGGGCTCGGCAATGTGAGTTCAGGGAAGCTGCCAGCTGATCTGGTGGCCATCGGCATCCTGAGCACGGCACAGTGCCCAGAGGTGGCCTCGGCCAAAGAGGACGAGTCACTAAGCTTGGCCCAATGGTCATTTCGTCTTGGGAGCTTCCGCTGAACAAGGAGGGTGGAGGGGGAAGAGAGGGAAAGAGGAAAGGAGAGAGAGGAGGGACAAGGAGGGAGGGAGAAGAGGGGAGAGAGGAGAGGAGGGAGGAAATAGAGGAGAGAGAGGGAGGGAGGAAAGAGGGGAAAGGAGGAGGGAGGAAAGAGGGGGAAAGAGGAGAAGAGGGAGGGAGGAAAGAGACAGGAGAGAGGGAGGGAAGAAAGGGGGAGAGAGGGGAGAAGGAGGGAGGAAAGGGGGGGAAAGAGGAGAAGAGGGAGGGAGGAAAGAGAGAGGAGAGAGGGAGGGAAGAAAAGGGGAGAGAGGGAGGAAGGAGGTGGGAGAGACAGACACAGAGAGACTGGAAAGTAAATGGAGTTAACTGCTAGCCCTGAGATTTCCAAGGGTTTCTGGTCTGTCGGTTGAGTACAAAGCCTGGAGTGGTTTTCAAATAAGTGTCCTGGGGTACTTGGCATCGGTGACCTCGTCGCTGGCTGTTTTTGAGGGTGGTTCTCGGTCAGCCCTGCCCAATGCCACGCGGAAGCTGCGGCTGGCTCCTCGGCCTTCCCAGGCCTGGGCACCGCTCAGCCTGCCTGCCCGTGCTCGCCCATTCTCACTGCGGCCCAAGCCTCCTTTCACGGCCCTCTTCTTGGGGAGGGCAGGAAGGGAGCTGGCTGTGGTCTCAATGTCAGGAGCATCCAGAGAACCCACATCGATTGTTGCTTCCGGTCAGTAGCGTGGTGCCCGGCACCACCCGCGGGTTCAGCGCCTTGTGTGGGCTCTCACAACCAGCCCGTGGCAGGTAGACTAGTCATTTTGGTATCCTCAGAAAGGGCCTCTTTTCACACTGCTGCTCTCACCTAAGTTATCTCCGGAGACACTCCGGAGCCTGCCGGAAGCCGCCCCGCCTCCTTCCCTCGTCTCTCCTCCTGAGATTACCCGGCCATCAGCGTTATCAAAGGGGGGCCCTGGCTCATCACCCCAGCGGGCCCCCGCCAGGCAGGGAGATGCTGGGCAGTGGGGGCAGTTGGGCAGCCCACGAACTGAACAAGGGAGCCAAGCCCTGGGGACAGTGGAGGCCAGGGGATGGCCGCTTGCCTGGCTTTGGGAATCCTGGGGGCTGGGGGGGTTCTGTTCAGCTCCCAGCTGCAATCATTCTATGCTCTTTCGTTCAGGGACGTCCTGAGCTGACCCCCACGGCCATAATGGCGGGGAAGCTGCTGGCACGGCGTCTGTTTGGTCACTCTGCAGAGCTCATGGACTACGACAATGTGAGCATTCGTTCGCCCCCTTTTCTTATGAGGTGTCGAGTCTCGTGCTGGAGGTGGTCCCAAAGTCCCTGTGAATCGTTTTTTTCTAGAGACGTGTGTGTGTGTGTCCGTGTGAGTGGGTGTGGCCTGTGGCCTGTGGCCCGGGCTGGCCCGTGGAGCGGGCCCGTCAGCCACGATGAGCGTGATGATGCTGGTCGCTTGCCTGTCGTTCTCCTCTTCCCGAGCCTACGATAATGCCCGCCGTTGTTACCTCCTCAGGTGGCCACCACAGTCTTCACTCCCCTGGAATATGGTTGTGTGGGATTGTCGGAGGAGGAGGCAGAGAGACGCTACGGACAAGAAGGCATCGAGGTACGGGACAGCGCGATGGTCATAAGCTTACGTGCAGGGCACAGGGGAAGAGGGAGGTGGTGATTCAGGGCGTGGGAAGGAGGAGCCCGACCTGGGACGTGGCTCTCAGGCGTGGCCAGGCATGGAAGGCCTTTGCCTGGAGACCAAGGCCATGTTCGCATAGGAAGCATCAGATGCTTCTGTCTAAAGACTCATAGCGTGGCCAGACTTGACCGCCTCTGGGCAGTCATCACAGTATTCCAAGGGCCCTCCCTGGGGCCCCGCATGCTCAGCCAACCTGCCCAGAGAGGCCTTGGGCTCTGCAGTGACCTACCCCACCACTCAGCAGCCCGGACAGCAAGATGGTGTGGGAGAACAAGGCTGGAAGGCTTTAACAGCGAGGGGCCTGTTTGGGGAGGGGGCTTTGAATCTTGTCCCAAGTGGGGCTGCCTGAACATCCCCTGTTCTTAGGGTCTCCGTGTCCCTTCCCTTCCTCCTGCTGGGGGCCCCTCTGCAATCTCCTGCCCATGGCTGTGGTGCCAGGCTTCCCGAAGCCCTCTTTCCATTGGCTTTCTCCTTGGGTACCCACTTTGGCCTGTCTGCCATGTCAGTGGTCAAGCCTTCTGCTTAGACTTTGAGACCCACCTTGGCCAATTTGGGCAACCCAGCCTCCCCTCTTCCAACACAGACCTTTTCTTCCAGTCTGAAGACCCCCAAGGCCAGGATCTCCCTGTCTCCCAAGGCAGGGATCTCACCCTCTCCCAAGGCCTGGATCTCACCCTCTCCCAAGGATGGGATCTCACTCTCTCCTGAGGTTGGGGATCTCACCCTCTCCCAAAGCCTGGATCTCACCCTCTCCCAAGGCCTGGATCTCACCCTCTCCCAAGGATGGGATCTCACTCTCTCCTGAGGTTGGGGATTTCACCCTCTCCCAAGGCAGGAATCTCACCCTCTCCCAAGGCCTGGATCTCACCCTCTCCCAAGGATGGGATCTCACTCTCTCCTGAGGTTGGGGATTTCACCCTCTCCCAAGGCAGGAATCTCACCCTCTCCCAAGGCCTGGATCTCACCCTCTCCCGAGGCCAGGATCTCCCTGTCTCTTGAGGCCAGGAATCTTACCCTCTCCCAAGGCCTGGATCTCACCCTCTCCCAAGGCCTGGATCTCACCCTCTCCCAAGGCCTGGATCTCACCCTCTCCCAAGGATGGGATCTCACTCTCTCCTGAGGTTGGGGATCTCACCCTTTCCCAAGGCAGGAATCTCACCCTCCCCCAAGACCAGGATCTCATCCTCTCCTGAGGCCAGGGATCTCACCCTCTCCCAAAGCCTGGATCTTACCCTCTCCCGAGGCCAGGATCTCCCTGTCTCTTGAGGCCAGGGATCTCACCCTGTCCCAAGGTCGGGAATCTCACTCTCTCCCAAGGCCGGGGATCTCTCCTTCTCACAAGGCAGAGATCTCACCCTCTCCCAAGGCTAGCATCTCCGTCTCCCGAGGCCGCCCATCTCCTTCTGCAGACCTCTCCATTAGGAGCATGTTTTCCTAAGGCCCAGCCCAAATCTTTCCCTCTGCCGCTGTCCTCATTGTTTCTCGTTCTGCCCCCGGGGATCAAACAGGCTCAGTCCAATCCCTTTTTCACATGACAACCCTTCAGATCCTAGAATCCAGCTTCACAGCCGCCTAAGTCTTCTCTCCAGGCCAAACAGCCTGTTTCTCAGCTGATCGCTGGTCACCCTCCTGGGCCTTCGCCAGATTCGCCATGCAGTGCCCCTTGGTGGGGCTCTGACCCTGACGGCACAGGGCACTGGGCCTCTCCTGCCCTGGCAGTAGGCTCAGTGCCTCCCTTAGAACAGCGGAAGACAGTCATATCCCACTGTGGACTCCATCGGCTTGCGTTCCACCCTGACCTCGGTATCTTTTCTACCCTGCCTCCCCAGTCTTATCCTGGAGAAGGTGATTTTTTTGTGCCTGAGTGTTAGGCTTTACATTTACTACTGTCAGAAATGTGTATAGGGGTCTGGGCAGGACTTCCCAATTTTGTCATCAATGAGTCTTAGATTCCCTTTTTGTTTCCAGCCAGGGACTTTAAAAAACAAAAGTCAAGATTTCTCCCTTCAAAGGCTGCAACCACAGATCCTGCCATCCACTCCCTTCCACCTCAGTCTATAGGACCATGAGACTTGGAGCTGGAGTGACCTTATACAGAGTCTAACCCCATCCCCTCCCTTCTCAGAGGAGCCAGAGGCCCTAGGAGGTCACATGGGTTCATGGTTACACTGGTGAGATGTAGCTGAGCTAGGAACGGCACCCAGGGCTTCTCACGGGGCCCTCTGCTCCCCCACTAGTGCTCTTGGGCTCCCTCAGCCACTGCGTGAACAGACCTGGAGGCATAAACTCCAGACAGCTGAGCTCACCCCTGAAGTTCCAGATGCTCCAAACCACTGAAATCAGGGCCAAAAATGCCCCGTTTTTGACTGGGCCAACGAGGCCGATTGGGCTTTATAGGCCTTCTGCTTGGTCTCCTGGAGCTGTCTGCGGGCTGCCTCTCTCCAGCCTGGGTCTTCAGGACCTCCACGGACAGGGAGCTCACTCCCTTTACCTCATCTCGTCTCCTTTTTGTGGCCTTTCAGCCATGCCCCTGAGTCTGTGGCCTGACTGGAGCCCAGTCATCTTGTCTTTTCGTGAAGTTGCCGGATTTCAGAAGCACCTTTTCTCCTTCTCTTTGAAGGCTCCAGAAGCAGTCCTTATCAGGTCCTATAATTCTTCCTGCCTGGATCTGGGTTCTTACAGGGCACCCTGACTCATTTTTAGCTCTCTCCCTAGCTCACTCATGGGGTTTTTGCGAGGATCAGTTGAGATCCCGTGTATTGAGCGCTCTTCAGACTCATAAGCATTCTTGTTCTTGGCTGGCATGATTGCTGGATGTCCCCGGCCAGATGAGGGGAAGGCCGTGGGCAGATGCTGGCTCTGACCAGCGTGGGGGCAGCTATCGTTGTCCCCCGCCCCTGTCGCCATCTGGCAGTGGGCTCAGAAAGTACACTTTGTGCCAGGGTTTCTGCAGCAGGAAATCTAGGCTGAAACGCATCCTGGAACCATGTGCTCTGTGGGCTTCCCCACCTCGCTGGTCCCCTTTCATCCCCCTCCTCCCCATCGCTGCGCCGCGGTCCTGACAGCTGGGGCTCCCTCATGGCGGGCTGGTCTGCCAGCCCTCTTTGATCGTGCCGAGTGTATCGGGCCACATTTGGGGATGTTGATTTGTGTTCCATGATGGGGAGCAGCCAAACAGGCTTTGTTTATTTTCCTTTCCGGACTGTTTGAGTCAGAACCATGTTCTCTGAAGCTCCATTAATTGCTAATAGCTGCCCAGCACATGTGAGAATCCAGATCATTTGTTACGCTGTCAGGCCCCATGGGTGTAGATGGCCTGCGCCCCCTCCTCCGCGTCTCCAGCAGAGCCCCGGCCCAGCCTTCCGAGGGCTTCCTGGGGATGGAGACGTCGGAGGTGGGATGGGGTGGACGTGGTGTTCCAGCCGTGTCCAGGGAGTATGCAGTCACAGGGGCAACGCCCAGCTTTCTGTCTCCCCCTTTGCACCCCAGAGGTTCCCTCCAGGCCAGTTAGTGTCCTATGATCTGGTCTCTAGATAGTCCCTAGGCTCCAAGACACCCTTCCCACACATACACACACATATGCCCACACATATACATGCACACACACACACACACACACTCACACAGCTCAGGGCCTTACAGACGGGGGCTTCTCCCATAATTCTGCTGGCCTGGGCCCAGCTGACATGGATGGGTCAGCACTCTCTCCTGAAGGCAGGCACCGTCTGTCTCTGACGCTGGCCACTGTCTTTGGTGGCTCCGGTGGGAGGTGAATGGCCTGGGCATCCCTGGCTCAGGGAGACAACTGGGGGTTCCACAAAGTGGGGGAGCCTTTGGGGGTGCCCTGATCCTGTGGCTTTTCCATGAAAACAGTGAAAGGAGGGAGAGACCAGGTGGTTGTCCCCAGACCAGCCAAGTGCCCCGGGACTGGCCAGACCGCAAAGGCCATGCCGAGGGGATGCTTGGTGAGTGAGGGCGTGAGTGAGCGCTTCGGCCCGATTTCATCAGTAGGGCCCACCCTCCTCCAGCACCTCCTCGGGGCCACACTTGTCACCCCGGCCGGACCCGGCGAGGCTGGTCCTCAGATGACAGGCACCGGCCTGGCCCCTCCCCAGCCTGTCCTGGGAGTTCTTCCAGCTTGGTGGGACTTGCCAGGGCTTGCTTTTCTGACATGGCCTTGGAAAGCCCCGGTTCCCTCCGTGCTTCCACGAGACAGCAGAAGAGGTCTTGGGGTAGAGGAAGAAGTGAGGAGTCTGTTTGAGAAACCCCACATTGGGGGGACAAAGACAGGCGAGGGTAACTTTGTTCTTTAAAAGGCAGAAGGAAGACGGGGACATGGGTGTTCTGGGCCAAATCCTCACTGTGAGGATCTGGCCCACGGATGGGAGCCGCGTGGGCAGCTGACCGCGTTGGCCCAGAATGTGCATGCACGGTGGGAGTCGTGGCTTCATGTCCAGACCTCGTCTGTTGCTTGGGTTCTCTGGGGATTGTCATGTTCAGAATGAAAAATATTTTTTAGAAAGAGGGAAACAGAAGGAGGCCCAGAGTGGCATGCCCCCTCTATCCGGGGAAGGCAGATTTCAGAAAGGATGGGTGGGGACCCACAGCCTAGGTTTTGTAGAGGAAGCCAATGGAGAAGGGACCTTTTCAGATCTTCTGAAGAGAGAGCAGGGTGGGTGGGGCACTGAGCACAGATGGTTGGGGGGACGTGCACAGAAGATGCTAAGGCAGGTAATGGTGGGGGAGTGGAGAGTCACAGAAACGCGCCATGGCCCAAGGAGCTTGGGAAGGGCCATGACGGCCACCATGGGACTGAGCGAGGGCAGATGTCACGTCTTCCGAAAGGGAAGAGTTTACCTAGGGTATAGGCAGTGAGCTCGGCTTCGATTGCTAACAGAATTCTTGTATGTTTGCCCGGAGGGGTGGTTAGTCACATCCAGAAAGGAAAGTGATGGACCCTGAGAGCCAGCCTGGCTTCAGCAAGCCCAGGGAGGCCAGCCTCGCTGGTGCCCATTGGTGCCATTGGGTGTTCCCCGAGCTCTGGATGAGAGCGGGGCCGGAGATGTGCTCAGGATCCACCGTCCCGCCCACGAGTCATCGTGTGGCGTCTCCTCACCCCGCTGGAGAAGACGGAGGGAGGGAGACCACAGGGCAGCCCAGGGAGCGCCAGTCCGAACTTGGTGAACGACAACCCAGAGACGATGCTGGCTGTGTCCGGGTGTCTGCTTCTTCCCAGGCAGTGAGGAACTTTTCAAAAACGGATCATGGCTTCAGTGCCGTGGGTTTCCTTGGGAATCCTACAGATTTTGCTTTATGCTTTTAAGAGCAGGCTGCCAAGAAAGGGTCCATCTATGGGCTTCACCAGCATGGCACAGATGTCTGTAACACAGCCGAGGTGAAGAAGCCAGAGCTGAAAGGGAAGTGCCCCGGCAATCAGGGTTGTGCCACCAAAGCTGCTAATCTGTCAGTGAAAAGCCGGTAAAGGCAGAGATGGCGTGCTGGTAAAATGGGTGAAATCTCACGTTAAATTTAATAGGGGAAAATGTAAAGCGTTCAGTCGGGTTCAGAAATGGACTTCATGAGTGCAGGACGGGGGTGGCAAAGTCAGACACGAAGGCCTGCAGAATGGGAGCTCCTAGAGGGCAGGCACCGTGTCCTTCTGCCTTTGTGTCCAGTGCCGAGCAGTGTGACCCCTACCACCACCACCACCGCCACTGCTGCTACTACTACTGGTGACGAAAAACACTAACCACCGGAGGCCGCCTTCACAGAGCGCTTTACACATGTGATCTCATTTGTTCCTCACAGCAACCCCGTGAGGTAGGTGCTTTATCATCTCCATGGTACAGCTGAGGAAACTGAGGCAGGCAGTGGTTCAGTGACTTGCCCAACATCACTCAGCTAGGAAGTGTCCGAGGCTGGATTTGAACCCACGTCTCCCTGATGCCCAGGCCCGTGTCCCATCCAGCCACCGCTTTGCACTTACTCAGTGTTCACCGGGTTTTCTTTCTCCCCAAGCGACTGCCAGCCCTTTTCAGGCACTGATGGGGTGTGTGGGCTCCCGAGGAGAGGTGATGAGGGCTAGGCAGGCTCTCCCCGCAGGAGCTCCTGGTCGGGCGGGAGAAGGCAGGCACAGGCCTGTCCTGGCCCTTCGCACCAAGCTCCTCACTGGCCTCCCTGCCTCCAGCCTCGCCCCGCTCTTCCGCCCAGCCATCCTCGCCTTGTGGCTGTTCCTCACATGTAATACCCTTCTCCCACCTCTGCGCCCTTGCATCGTCTGGGCCCATGCCTGGAATTCCCTTCTTCCTCACCTCCACTTCTTAGACCCTTATTTCCCTCAAGAATCGGCCCAAGTGCAGCTTTTGCGCAGAGCCTTTCTAGGAGCCCCCTCCCTGTCCGTCATCCCCACCCAGGGAGCCCAGTGGCTTTGTCCCTACCTAGAGGTGTGTCCCCAAAGCCTCGGGGTGCATCTCTCTCTCTGCTGCCGATTTTAAAGACACGGAAAGGCTTCTGCCAGGTGTCATGCTTGCGGAGCCGCCATTTACGGGTCAGGCTGCTAGGCGCTGGGGCGTTTACCGAGCTTGGATGAGACGGCCGTGTCCCTCTGCTTGCTGAGATGTTTTGTCCTTTTCACATGATGTCACGGCAGCATCTGTCTGACACCTCATCTGCGACTGTGATAGAGGTGACGCCTGCCTCGTGTGTAGTGGATGACCTTTCATCCATCCCCATGAAGCCCCTCTTGTGTGTCGGGTGCTGTCCGAGGTGCTAGAAGCACCAAGACAAACACGGCAAATAGCCCCTGCCCTCCAGAAGGTTGCGGCCTGCTAGGTGAGGCACCGTGGACGTGCATACACAGACTCCAGTCCAGAAAACACGTAGATAGCTACAGATGCCATGAACAAGGCAGTGTGCGGGGGCGGAGTTAGAGCATGGGGAAGGCCAGTCTGTCCGCGCTCTTGACCATGAGGACAGTAACATATGATTGTGCTGGAAAAAAAGGAGGTTGGGGCCAGACTGTCCGGCTCTCATGCTTCTGACTCTGTGCGTCCTTTGCAGAATCCTCTGACCTTGGCTCTGTCCCCGCCCCTCTTCTCCACCCTTTCTCTACTCTCCCTTGTAGGTTTAACTACCGTTGCTGTGCAGACCATTCTCCCTTCTCCCACATCCCCACCTCCCTTACTGCACTCCATCCTGGCCTCTCCTGAGCTTACCTGGCCCTCTGGACCTCTCTAGCCAGATGTGATGTAGGCACCTCAAATACATCCCATTATCCAAGGCAAGGAAGACAGTGTGTAGTTCACTTGGTCAGCTGCAGGGTCAAGTCTGGGAGGGGAGGAAAGTGGGGCCAGAACAGAGATGAAGGAGCCATGAGGAGCAGAGGGGCAAGGCAGAGGAAGCTGGGGCTCGTGGCGGGAGCACTGAGCGCCAGGGAGACGGCAAACCCAAGGGCACGGCCGTCCCCTTGTCTAGATGGACGCTGACTTGGATATTGAAGCTTCCAAGTGGGAGCGGAATCTGAGGCTGCATTAAGAGGAGCTCAGAGCCCAGGGGACTGGTCAGGCCCCATCCAGAGCCTCGGGTGCATTTCTGGGTGACACAGGTCACAAAGGACATTGATAAGTTGGGAGAGATGAAGAAGGGACCCAGGGTGGGAAGCGCCTGGAGTCCACGAAGAAACTGGGGAGGGTTAGTCTGGACAAGAGAACGCTGCTTCAGGTAGTTGAAGGGCGCTTGGAAGAGCCACTGGATTTGGTCCGTTTGGGCCCAGAAGACAGAACTATGAGCAATGATGTGAGGCGGCAAGGGGAACGTTCAGGCACAATGTGAGGACGAGTTTCCTAGCAGTGAGGAGCCTCCCACTGCGGAGTCGGCTGCCCGGAGAGGTAGTGAGCTCTCTGGCCCTGGAGGGTTTCGGGCAGGGCCTGTTGTGATTCAGTGGCCACTGAGATGCCTTCCAGCGACCAGGGGCCCCGGAGCCGTTAGAGGCAGAGGCTATCGTCAGGATGACCTCGGGTGCCCAAGGGCCCTCCTCATCACAGCTGGGTCAGGGCAAGCAATTCTGGTCAGCTCCTGGGTGACTGTAAATGGTCACGAGAGTGGGGCCCACATTGGGGACATTCTTTAACCACAACCTTTTTTTCAGGTTTATCATGCGTATTATAAGCCCTTGGAATTTACTGTGACTGAAAGAGACTCCTCTCAGTGTTACATCAAAGTGAGTATTCAGCCCAGCTAATACTGTCTGTGTCTATGGAGCACTTCATCAACAGTCCTGCGCAGGGTGGAACCCACGGCCAGAGAGGCAGTGACTTACCCAGGGTCACACAGCTAGCAGAGGGAAAGCCTGGGAGCTCAGGGCATCCCATTGGAACACAACCCCAGCTCAAAAGGCCATGGAGTGTGGGGGCTGCTACCCAGGTGGCTTCTGAGCAACCTCGTGAGTGACCACCTTGGCCCTCAGCATCCTCATCATTAAAATGAGACCATCAGACAGGCTGATCCCCCAAGGCCCTTCCAATCTGACCCTCCCTCCCTGGGAACAAGGTGACCAAAGGCATCTGTGTCCCCCATAATTCACAAGCGTCATCCTCAGAGAGGAGTTAGGAGCTGGTGTTCATTCTAGACTCTGGGGAGACCCTGTCCTGCTCATGTCCAGTCCTTCTGTGTCACTTAAGCTAAGAGCAGGTGCAGGGTTTGGGTGGATGAGTTTGGTCTGAAATGATCAGGAAGGGGAATTCTCCTGCCTTAGCCCTGGTCCTTCCCACTGTCTGCCCTTAACCATCAGTTGTTCAATGTTGCCAGTGAGTTGGAAGAAGAAAGCACCTCCTGTTCAGGCCCGGGTCTGCCCAGCTCCCCTGTCCCCACCCCAGCTTCCTCCCAACCCTGTGGGATCGATTCCCACCATCACAGTTCACTCCCAAGCCGTGCAGAACTCCCAAAAGTCCGTGCATGAATGTGAGAAGACAGACGTTGGTGTGTCATGGACAGTGGGTGGGTGGCGGGCAGGCGGTAGGCCGGCCTTACTAGGGCTGTATTGTTTTCAGATGGTGTGCTTGCGAGGGGAAGACCAGCGGATTCTCGGCCTTCATTTCCTCGGCCCCAACGCAGGCGAAGTTATTCAAGGATTTGCTCTTGGAATAAAGTAAGTACAAAAGAATGTCTTCAGTTTATAAAGTTCTCCTCCTAAATTATTCTGAGATTATAGAGCATAGCTGCTTAATTTTGGCAACACTACAGTTGAAAAGACTCTGTGTTTTCTGTTACTTTTATGTAGTATTATGCATATTTTCAGCAAAAATACTTCAGGTCTTTATTAAGATACCACAGGTTTAGTTTGAGAAGATCCCAGCTTTCTTCTGCAGCCAAATATTATACAACCTCCCAGAAAATCCTTTCGAGTGCCCCCCTACCCTCTGTGGCTGCCTTGGGGGGGCCCCCGGAAGAGGCACATCTTCCCCTCAGGCCTTCTGAGGCATTGTCAACCTAGCTGGCTTCAGGCAGGGAGACTTGTAGGGTTACTGAAAAGGTGTCCTGACCCATCCATCCTCAGCCAGTGATGGCACCTCCTGTGTGCAAGATGCACATGCCATCAGGGGGGAAGGAAGGAAACTGCCCTGGGGCCATGGCTCTGGGCTCCCCTTGGGCAGGCTGGCCTCAAAAGGCCCCCTTTCTGTTCCCTGCTATGCACAGTGCACCATTTACTCTTCCACTCTGATGCCTAGGGTCATGGTGAGGGGGGTTAGATTTTCCTCCATGGAACATAAGAAAGAAATTGCCATCTATCGCTGCTGCGTGGCAGAGCCCTACGCCATCTGGATCCGCCATGCTGCAGAGAGCAAGAGAGCTTTGGGTTGTCCCCAGAGATCTGAGATTTCCCTCATATGAGAAATTCCCTTCACCTCGCTGCCTTGGGAGACACCTCAGTACCCAATGGGCAGCTTTCTGGCTGGTAGGGAGGCCCTGGGACCATGATTAAAATCAGAAGTAATGCCACCAGACACATGGCTGAGCTTTTTCAAAATGTGCCCAATAGCAGAGTTTAGAAATCCCTGGCTCTGGTGGCCTCTCATTCAAAGTGGACTCTCCCCTGAACAGTCTGCGATGGGGCGAGCGCCAGTCAGGCCAACCTCCTCTTGTGCCCGGGCCCTGAGCAGGGACTCCTCCACAGCCCTGGAGCTGCCACAGAAAGCATCTGCGCCTTTTGGGAGGGGGAGGCCACTGGACGGGCCAAATCTGTCACCCTCCATCCTCGCCGTCCTAGAGCCCACAGTATTATATCCTATCAAGTCCTGACCCAAGAGAGTAACCCAACAGATGGGCATTGTCTGAAGGGCACCGGCCGGTCCAGCGTGTCGTCGCCAGGTCGTTCTGTGGCCGTTAGCGGGTTTTTACTCCTTGAGTGACTGGTGTAAATGAGAAGCAGAAATGGGATTAGAAGAGACGCTCCCAAACATGTTGTGGGGGGAAGCCGCTCCAGAACGTTTGATTGAAATGGACCTTGAGACCACATATTTTCGACATGTGTTTGTAGTCCATTAATTGCCAGGCGTTCAGATTCTAGAACGGCATTTTGTGCGACGTCATCGTTTTGAAGTCGTGTCCAAAATAACCATTGGAAGGAAGTCCATGAAAGTGGAGAGCTGGCCTGCCTCGCACGTGTGCTCAGGAGCCCAGGTGAGGCTCTCTGAAGGTCAGCTCAGAACGTTCCATGGGCAGGAGCACGGCCCTGGTGCGGCGGCCGCTGGCGGTCTCTCTCTGGCCCTCTTCACTTGTAGCATTCCGGGAAGGAGGCCGCGTGTGGTGGCACACGCCCGGGGAGGCTGATGCTTGTGGGTCCCCCAGGTTGGGGAGTTCTGAGTGGCGGTGAGGCTAACGCCAAGGTTGCCACAGACATGATGAGCCTCCACGAGCCAGGGGCCTCCATTCTGACAAAGAAAGGCCCAGCCAGCTGAGGCTGGAGACCCAGAACAGGCCCACGTTTCTGGGCTGTCTCCAAAAGGGAAGGGGAGGGAGGGAATACGCATTTATTAGGCACTGAGCTAAACAATTTACAAAGAGTACTTTGTTTGATCCAGGAAACTGAAAGAAGGAGCTCAGTTTTACACAAATGCAGTATACTTAGCCCCCTCTCCCCCCAGTGCCTTAAGACCTGATTAATGAGGACTGACTGGGACAGGTTCGTTCAAATTGTGAGAAATGAATGATACTTGTCTCTGAGAATACCCCCGCTAGCCAGGAGTCTGACGCACTCTCCTTCCGTATTTCAGGGCCCCATCCGCTCCTCAGGGCTGGTGCCTGGGAGGGGCCGCGTGCTTCTGGGCAGTTTTCTTAGTGGTTTAGAAAGGCAGAGAACATAGGATCAGTCAGTTAACAAGCCTGTGTGCCCGGCCTGGTGCCAGGTGCACGCACAGAACGAAACGACCCTGCCCCCGAAGGCCTCAGCCCAATGGGGGAGATGACGGTAACTGAGAGGGGGCATGTGACGTCTCCCCAGGGTAGAGGAAGGGTTGGCAAACTCCCTGACTGACCACTGTGCTCCAAAGCTCTTGACAGGCCCAAGCACGAGACTGAATCCAACAAGATGAAATCCGCTGGCGATAAACGTGAGGGCGCGGGCCACGGCGCAGGCCACGTGGCTGAGGCTCCAAGCTAGGCACGGCTGTGGTTCTGCTCTCACACCCCCGGGGGAGGGGGTCATCATTGCCTGTGTGTTCAGTGGCGTCAGCGGGGCTCAGGACATGCCGGTCACATCTTCTTCTGTCCCAGTCACACGGTTCTGGGCACGCGGTCTAAAGAGGAGGATGGCCAGGCTGGGAAAGAGCCTGTGCTCACACCCCATGGGGGGGTGAAGGAGCAAAAGGAGCTTAACATGGAGGAGGGAAGCCTGGGGGTGCAGAGTCACGGATTTGCAGGGCCTCCGGTGGAAGAGGGGGGCTTCTTCCTTCCAGAGCCAGGAGCGACGGGGAGGATTGCAAAGACACACATAGAGACTTGATATAACGAAGAAGAGGAATAACAAAGCAAAGGGAGTCACCCAAAGAAGCGCGAGGGAAAGGGGGGCTGGGCTGGGGGGGATGAGGAGAGCTGAGGGCCAGGGGCGGATGTCACCCAGGGTCTGTGTCAGGGACAGGCGAGACTGCAGACGCCTTGGAGTGGTCGAGCAACGAGGGAAGGCTTCCTGACCGTGAGAGCCCTCCCAGCGTGGATGGTACTGCCTCATGAGCTGGCAGGCTCCCTCTCCTCCGAGGTCTTCCAATGGTAGACGGGATCCCTTCTCAGAGAGGAATGGGACTTGGTGGCCGCTAGGTCCCTTTGTGGAAGGGACGTGAAAACCGCTTCACGTTGAAAGGGGGGGGTGTCAGAGGAGCTGAGGTGAGGCTGGATTGGTCCAGAAATGCTTTAAAGTCATGTGAGTAAAGGGACCAAAACCACTCATGCCCTTTGACCCCGAGGAGGTCGGCCCCCAGACATCCCGAAATATTCATTTCTAGCAGCATCTCTCGTGCCTGGAAGGAAAGCGGGGGCCCTTAGGCTGGGGGGGCACCGAGCCAAATGGGGCCAAGGAGGAACGGAATGTTCTTGGGCATGAAGAAGGGAAAGGCAGGGGCCAGGGGTGGGGATCCCAGAAGCCTGGTAAGGAGGCCTGGAAACGGTTCACCCAAGGACTCTAGGAGCATAAGCAGGAAGCACTTCTGGGCCTCGTCGTGACTGGCCAGGGGCCTGGAGGACAGAGAGTGAGCCGGGAGAGGTGGGGGGCAGCCGGGGCAGGTGCCACACTCCCCCTGGGGCCGAAGCTGTGCCGTTTGTTGTGCTGGCCTTGGAAGGAGGGGCTCTCTCCAGAGCGACCCCCTGATGGAAAGACACGGGACGGCTACAGGACTCTTGTGAGCCTGAGGGAGGGAGGGGCGCAGTGTGAGTCCACAGGGCCCGGTGGTCAGGAGGGCGGGGGGAGCACCTGGCTCGAGCAGGAGTGGGGCCAGGAGGGGAAGATGACGGGTTTGGGGAAGTCCCTGGGGTTCCCAGTCTAGGGTCCTATGAAGTCACCTGCGTGCAGGTGAAAAAGAAATCCACAGGAGCAATGGGGAAGGGCGGGAAGAAAGTCCAGGTGGAGAGGGGGCCAAGGGCGGTTAGGCCACAGGCCAGCAGAGCCAATGGGGAAGAGTGACCGAGAGGCCGGGGGAGAGCCGGGGCCCAGCGGGAGCTCCGGCCGGGCAAGGCTTCAGACTGGGCAGGGGCAGAAGGCTGCGGGCAGGGGGGAGGGAGCAGTGGGTGGAGGAGGGAGACAGCATGATGGGTGAGGAGGCTGGCGAGGCCGAGGCACAGGCGTTTGTGGTCAGGGAGATCTGAGCATGTTTCTGGGCATCAGATGGACCCAGGAAACGGAAGAAATGAAAGAGGAGAGAGGAGGAATGGATGCTGTGGGAGGGTCAGCTTCATCCCAGAGCCAGGCTGGGTGTGGACATGTGGGGGGGAGGGAGAGGAGAGGAGGGGTCTCCACACAGGGGGCCTCCACCGCTCCAGTCCAGTCAGAAGAAAGGGCCTCCTGCCAGAGAAAGCGGGGTGGCAGAGAGAGAAGGTTGGAGGCAGCCCTTCTGGGGAGGGCGAGAGGCAGGCAGAGAACAGGAAGGATCTGTGAGGGGCCCAGGCTGCATTGCTCTGTGGCTGGTGAGGGCTGCTGCCCCTGCAGCCCCCGAAGCCCCGCGGTTCGCCCCTTTACCAAGTTAGTCCCCTCAGGGCCCCCGCTACTGGCCTTGCCACCCCATCCACGGTTGGGAACATTAGGAATTCTCCAGTCCCGTGGCCTGTGTCAATGACCTGCCCCCCCCCCAATGTTTTTAAAATTAATTTATTTTTGGTTTTCAGCATTTACTTCCATAAGATTTTGTGTTCCAGATTTCTCCCCCTCCCTTCCCAAGACGGTGCACGATCTAATATAGGCTCTACTTATATGTTCATATTAAGCATATTTTCACATTAGCCATGAGGTGAAGAAGAATTAGAACCAGTGGGAGGGGCCAGGAGAAGAAAGAATCAAAACAAAACAACAAAGGAAAAGGAGAGCAAATAGTCTGCTTCGGTCTGCATTCAGACTCCGTGGTTCTTTCTCAGGATGTGGAGAGCATTTTCCATCATGAGGCCTTTGGAGGTGTCTTAGATCCTTGTATTGCTGGGAAGGGTTCAGTTTATCAATATTAGCCATCGCACAATGTGGCTGTTACTGTGTGTAACGTTCTCCTGGTTCTGCTCCCTTCACTCAGCACCAGACCCATCCAAGTCTTTCCAGGTTTTTCTGAAGTCCGCCTGCTCGTCATTTCTTACAGCACAGTAGCATTCTGTTACATTCATAGGCCACAGCTTGTTCAGCTGCTCCCCAGTGCTGCCCCCAAATCTCGCTGTGCCTTCTAGGTGCGGGGCCACATATTCCCAGATGAAGAAGACGGTGGGCATTCACCCGACCAGCGCCGAGGAAGTGACCAAGCTGTGGATCACCAAGCGCTCGGGCTTGCCGGCCACCGTCACGGGCTGCTGAGGGTAAGCGCCCATCCCTGGACGAGCCCAGGAGCACCCAGCGTCCCTCCCTGTCAGCGCTACTGCAGCTTCCTCCGTCTCTGAGCCTCTCAGTCCACTCATTTCAGCACCTGCGACATCATTCGAACCCATCACGCACCCTGGAACCTGTGCCCAAATGTGCCCGTGGAGTCTGCTGCCCAGAGGTCAGTCGGGCGGGATGGTGTGCGGGTGGGGGTGGGGGGAGGGGGCTTTCACCAGTGTCCTCTCTGAGCATCTGGGTGCTGGCCCTCACTCCCCTCACTGCCTGCCTCCCGAGACAAGTTCACAAGCTCCTAGGCCTCAGACCACTGACCACCGGCTTCCATCGAGCTGCCCAGGTGGTCTGGCAGGCCGCACCCTCCCAAGAGATTTCCAGCGCTTAGTCATTGATGTGGGCTCTCTCCAAGTGGTGACCCCCAAGCCACCGAGCTGCGCTCCCCTCTTCCCCCAAGGTGTCACAGCCTGGCCAAGGGTCTTCACGAGCTGCCATAGCCAGAGAGCATCCCTTCCCAAGCCCCAATGATGAGCAGACTTAGGCAGACTCCAGGCCCCTGCTCAAGGCCTTTCTAGCTTGGCCAAGGCCCAGGAGCCCAGCCTCCCAGGGAGAATGGACGGGGGGTGTCTGGCCCCCCCAGCCCAGCCTCATGGGCAGCCAGCTCAGGGCAGGGAGCCTCGGCACGCTGTCCATTAGGTTCTTGTTTCATCAGGAGACATTTAAAATTTGGGGGATTGTTATTAAAAGCGCGACCATCCCAGTGCAGATGATGAGAGGTTCAGCTCAGGCAGACGGTGCCGCTGGTCTGTAGATCGTCCAGAAGGGGGAGATGCTGCCTCACTTGTGACACGGCTGGGACGTCCTGGTTTCCGGGCCTGGCTGGTGGGCGAGTAAGCACAGGGCTGGGAAAGAGCCCGCCCCTCCCCCAGCCAGTGGCAGGGACAACCCGGCTCTTCCCTCCTCCTTTCACGGCCCAGCTGTATCTGCCATCAAATGGTGGCTTCATTAGGCCTTGTTTTCCTGGGAGTTTGGGTCTTCAGCAAATCTTGTCCCAGTGAGCCCAGCCCTGGGGTCTCCATTGACACAAGGAGGGGGGTTGGACCAGAACATCTATAAGGCCTCTTCTGGCTTCTTCCTATCTGCCCCTGTGCCTAGCACGGTGGTTGGGGATCAATTGATTGATCTGTCCAGGAATCACTCTCTTTAAGGAACCCAGGCCAGTTCTTAGACCATGGGTCTAGGACCAGAATTTCTTAGCCCAAGCTCTGCCTCCCTTCTGGGTCGCTTCTGTTCTCTGGGTTCTGATCACCGGCTGGCGATCTCCGTCATCAGCTGGCAGCTCTGCCCACAGAGAAACAGAACAGAGGTCATTTGGGTAAATAGCTCTGAGATCCTCAAGCACCTTTTTCTGTATGCAACATGAATTTTTGGTTAGGGTGCAGCTTCCTCCTCCTCCTCTCCCCCTCCCCCTCCTCCTCCTCATCCCCTCCTCCCCTCCTCCCCCTCCTCCTCCTCTGCACAGGCTTTGCAGAGTGGAGGCCTGTCACTGTGAGGTAAGTGAGCCGTGGGTGCCTTTAGGCGAGAACAGAATTCCTCAGGAAATGCAGGGTTCGATGTGTGTGCCCCAGCATCTGGTAGATAAGATTCCGCCCTCAGATCCTGTTGCCCGAGCTGCCTGCCAACGAAGGGAATCGTGTTAGGAAAGAAGCTGAGGCTGCCTGGAAGGCTGCCTGTTTGCCGCTGCACCCTGCGTGAAAACGCTTGGGAAAGGGGGTCCCGCCGCCTCCCTTTCCCACCCGCCACTGCCCCCACCCCTGTCCAAGTGCCCATATCGCCTTTGATACAGAAAAACAGAGGACATCCTGAGGAAACACCATCAGAATATTCAGCGTAACACAAATGTTTTGTCGAGGGCCTTGGGAAAAAAAAAGCCAGACTGAAAATAAAATTTTTATTCTTTTGCAGTGTTTTTCCAGCCCTGAAACATCCCCTGTTACCCAGCCTACCTGCGTCTGTGATGGCGGTGGGAACGGAAGCAGAACCTTTGTTTCAGTGGCAGAGATGCTGGCCCCAGCAACCCGTGCTCCACTTGGACAGCAGGCAGCTGCCTCCCTCAGGCAAGCCAGCCTTCCCAGGGCGTCCTTTTTCTGTGCTTGACCTTGAGGCCCAGCTCTCGTGGGCACAGGGGCTGAGCCTCCTTTCAGCACCAGGGCAGGCCAGGGAGCTGCTTTTTAACAGGGTTTCGATGGACCTGTCTTCTTCTTAAGAACTCCTGCTGCAGAATTACAATTGTGTCTCCGTCCCAGACTGAATCCAGTGCTAATGTAGCCAAAGATGTTTTCTCTGATCAAAGGAAGGAAGGCAAGGAGTCTTCCCCCTTGTCTGTGTGCCCTGCTGCTTCCTGACAGATTGCTGTGTGCTCCTCCAGGGATGGCCCTTAGCTGGGGAACCTCCTGTCCCTCACAGGAGGGATTCCCCACAGCCCACGTTTGTGTCTGAATGCCAGACCATGACGACTTGTACAGAAACCCACCCAGTGGGCTGTGCAAGTCTGAGCTCCCCTGGTATTTCTTGTGTGTGTGAGAGAGAGAGAGAATTTGAATTAACTAATAAATAAAGAAGATATTTTATTCTCCACTTTGGCCGCTTCTGGAATACTCGAGATCCACAGCTTAGAACAGTGCCCACGGGCCGAGGAGGCAGGGCAGCAGCAGGCAGGCCTAGTGGAGAGGGAAAAGGCCTGTATCTTACCAGCAGCTCCCGTCTCTGACCAGGGACTGCCTGCACACTAACGTGATTCCGAGTGGTCTGGAGCGGAGGCCTTTGGCCAAGTGTGTGCGCGAGACCTCCGTCCATCTGGCCCAGAGGACGCAGAATCTGATCCTACCAGCCCATGGGCTCTGGTCCTGGGCCTTGGATACCGGTAAAAGCCATCCTCCATTAATTTTTGAAACAACCCAAAATCAGAATCGTCGCCAGGCCAAACACTGCACCAGTGGGTAGCTAGTGAAAGGCGGGCGATGAGTCAGCCCTGGGGACCGCCCTGCCCTCCTGGGTCCTGCCTGGCCCGTCTCATTCTGTCCTCGGCCTTCAGGCCGGCTCATGCCCCTGCCCCAGGTCTGGGTCCTGGACAGAAGTTCCTGCTTGAGCTCCCCCCGGCAGACCAGGAAGGCTTCTGACGGCTCCAGATGAAGTCAGCGGCATGCCCGGGAAGGAGGGGGTGGGAAAAAAAAAGAAAAAGAAAAAAAAGGCGAAACCACAGGCTTTGTTCCAAAGTGGCATGCAGAAGATTTGGTGTAATTATTTTAATTGGTATGAGTGTTGGAGTATTTCTCTCCACTCAACGTCAGGTACCTAATTATATTTCCATTGTGTGCTGAAGTCAATATTGTCAAGCTATCCTCGGCGCTAATCCTCCACATTGAGGGTTGATGGGCCGAGGGAAATCCTGCCTTCAGCAGCTTGTTGTCAGGCCGTCAGTCAGCTCACCCTGGCAGCGGGGCCCCAGCAGGGCCCAAAGCAAACAGCACTCAGGGCTCCCAAGACATGGATGGGACCCTACTTGTCAGGGAACAAAGGAGAGTTCTTTCCTCCCTAATGGGTATAATGAAACCCTTAAGACACGTCAATAGAAAAGCCCGAGTAGTAGGCAGTGAACTCCCAGACTCAGGCAGACTCTCCAATTAAGATGCCAAACTGATGGGGAGGCTAAGCCCACTGTCCCCCTCTTCCAAGTCAGATAATAAGATTATCATGTCTCATTTACCACATGGCTAAAAATACATCGAGTGCCAAAGGGTTGGGGAGGGAGAGAAGGCCCGCTTCCAGCCACCCCCCTCCCAGATAACACGGCCAGGCCAGCCCAGCCCTGTCAGAGAAGCCGCGGGCTCTTCCTGGCCTCAGAGGCAAAAGCCAGCTTGCAGATTCCCACACCAGAACCCAGGGCAGCGTCCAGAGGGTGTCCGGCCCTGCCCTGGCACAAGCCACCACCAGCGGCATGGGGAGGGGCCCTTTGGAGGGGCTGGGGGCAAGTTCTGTTGGGCCTTCCGGTCCCTGAGGGATGGCCATTTGTCACCGCTGTGAAAGTTCCGTTCACTTCTGAGCAGAAAGCACACCGAGGCCAGGGATCCCCAGGGGGCTGTGGCCACGCAGATGTGTTCCTGCCAGGGTCTGGCTTCCCCTGAGCCATCCAGCAGATCCCAGAGTCATAGTCCAGGACTGGAAGGGACTTTGGACACCATCGAGCCCATCCCCCCTGTATTTTACAGATGAGGAAACTGAGGCCCTGGGAGATGAAACTGTTTGCCCACAGTCACATAGGTAACAAAAGACGAAGATGTTATTCGAACCCAGGTTCTTTGGCCTTTGTTTTTTGTTGTTGTTCTTTGACCTTTGAACCGAACTCTTTGCACCATACTGCAAGGTCCGAGGACGAGTAAGAGCTGGGCCTCTCAGGCTGGATTCACACAGAAGCGCCATCCGCCATCCTGAGTCCAGGCAGGTAGGTTGTTAAGTCCCTGAGAGCAGGGATTCTCTTTGGTCTCCTTTCACATCCTCAGTGCTTAGCAGAGTGCCTGTCACATACTAGATGCTTCATAAATGTTTATCGTTTGGTTGAGACGTAAGGAAATTGCTTGGATCATGCAAGCAGAGCATTTCGCCTGGGAATGGCCTTTTCTGTCAGCCCAGCGAGAATTGCCTAGAAGCAGAGGACTCAAGTTTTTGAGGCCAGCTTGCCGGTGAATCCAACCATCTGCAGGGCCACAGCAGTGTCGCGCTGCACTTTATCGGGCTGTTAGACTACCCCTCACCAAAAAAGAGATGTATGAGTGTGGGCATGTGTTTATATTCATTTCTTACATACATGTATGTATCTGAGTGTATCTGTGTATGTATCTATGTGAGTACATCTGTGTCCGTGTGTATACATACACACACACACACATGCAGAGTACCCCAAAAGTTCAATGCCACCGTTAAACCTTTTAAAATGTGCTGAGACTTTTGGGACACCCCACATGTACCAGATTTGGCCCACAAAAATTGGATTAGATTCTGCTTGTGAGAGCTCACATTTCTCTGTTCTTTACCATTGGTAGGCGGCTATCCCACCGCATGTTCCTATGCCCGTTTTACAGATGAGGAAACAGACTCATATGACTTGTCCAAGGTCACACAGCTAGTTAGTGGTTAGAACCTGGTTCTTCTGAAGCCAAGTTCAGCATTCTCTCCACGTACCATGAGTTTAGGCTTCCTTCAGCCTAGCACAAGCCACAGGAACAGAGACCATAGCAGGCTGTGGCCAAGATCTTAAGGATGGGACCTTTTCCAAGTGTCTATCAATGGTTTTTCTCTTGAGTGATGATAGGACGGCAAATAATGGGACACCGATATTAAAGATGCCTTTTGTCAATAGGACAAAAGTGTCCTAGGCAGAGGTGGGTCACTGATCCGTGACCTTACCCTTCGGATTATAGCCCGCGTCAGGGGCGCCTCGGTCATATTCTCGGAGCTTATCCTGGGGGCTCTCCTCAACGCCTGAGGTGCCTGGTCTGATCCCCCCACATCAGAGGGATGTCAGACCTGTCCCTCACGTATCCTCACGCTCACTGCCTGAGCAGCTCGTCTTCCTGTTCCTATCGGACCTTTCCCCGTCACGCCCTAGATTGTCTCTGTCCCCTGTGAATTGCACACATTCATCCGGTGTGGCGCCCCGTGGACCTGCAGTCACCACCTTCCTCTCCAGCCTCTCTCAGCAGTGACCTCAGACAAGCTAGCCAGCCAGCCTTTTCCACCTTCCAGTTCGAGCTGTGGACCAAAAGGCCCCTAGTGTACGTGTTAATTATATGGGAGGGAGAGTGCCGATCCCGGCCTCAGCAACGGCTGACACCAGCCTCGTCCAAAGGCCATCTCCAGGTGGAACAAGCACCTCATCCCTGGGAGCCCGGAGCTGGCCAGGAGGCTTCCTTCCAAAGCCTGGTTGCATCAGTCACAAGTCTGATGGGAAAAGTGGATTCCCCCTGCGGGGGAAGGAGAAGCGGTGGAGACGGGGTCATGTTGAGACAAGGTGCCTGCCTCGTTGCCAAGGGGGAGGCCTCGGAGCCCGCAGCCTGTCAGAGCTGGCATCTTAGAGGAAAATGTGATCCCAACCCAAAGGGTTTGGTTTCAGCTGCGCTGGCTCGGCAGCGGGTGGAGACGCCTCCCCCAGCCGGCCCCTGAGAATGGACCCCGGACTTCTGGGCCCAGGCAGCGGTTCCTGGGGCGCTCCCCAACCCCCGAGAGCTTAGCGAGGCCCTAGAGGCCGTTCCTCTCATTTTAGAGGGGGAAACTGAGGCTCTGCCTGGGTGAGCCAGGCCCCGTGAGGCAGAGGGAGAGCCCGGGGCCCCTTGATCTTTCCATAATGCCCCACCAAGTTGGATGTGGGTGTCCACCAACCCCCTGCCTTGGCTTTCCAGAAGGTGCAGGGGCAGAAGCATGACTCCTGGCCTTTGAAGGCCTCTGGTCCTTGGGTCACCTCGAGCGTGGGCTTGTTCAGAGACACCGAGGGCTGTGGGCGTGAAAGCAGGTGTGGGCAGCTCTAAGTCAAGGGTTCAAATCCAGCCTCAGACACTTCCTAGCTGTGTGACCCTGGGAAGTCCCTTAACCTCTGTCTGCCTCAGTTTCCTTATTTATGAAACAGGAATGATAATAGTACCTATCTCACAGGGCGATTGTGAGGATCAAATGAGATCATATTTGTAAAGCGCTTTGCAAACTGGAAAGCACTATATAAATGCTAGCTATTATGATGATTAATGTTTTTATTATAGTTAGCTATGTGACCCTGGGCAAGTCCCTTAACCGCTGGCTGCCTCAATTTCCTCATCCGTAAAATGGGATAATAATAGCACCTAGGGCTGTTGTGAGGATCCACTGAAAATAATTGTAATTAGCACAGTGCCTGGCACATAGTACGTGCAGTATCATTATCATTAAAGGAATGTACAAATGAGTATTTTGCTTTGAAGCTGAAATCACTTTTTTTTTCTGAAGAATTTTAGAAGTACTTTTTGGTTTATTACACCATAATCTTTTCCCCCTGTTACCCCTACCACTGAAAAAGAAACACAGTTAAGCAAAACAGACTGACACAATGAGTATTTCCGAGAGTGTATGCAACATTCCACCTCCATAGCCCCCCACCTCTCCCCTTGGGATGCATCTGACAAGCATCTAGTATGTCTCCATGTCTGTTGCCCAGGTGGAAAGAAGAGAAGTGAATTCCTTCCCATGATTCCTTGATCAGGAAGGAGGGAAAGCTTCCTTCTCTCCTGGGCACAACGGCCCTGCCCCAAGGCTGGGCTGAGACCCACCCGCAGTCGCCGCTGTCCACATAGGGCCTGGGGAGACCAGAGGGTACAGTCGCCCAGCTCCAGTCCCCATGATGAATTCTGCAGCAATCCTGAAGCCAAGGGCAGGAAGTTATTAAAGACCGTCAGCCCCGGAGGGGAAGGAGAAATCCCAGCCAGGGCTGTAATTAGATCCCGAACGGCCATGGCCTTCCCAGCTCTGCCCTCAGACGTCATTGGGCACGCACGGGCCGGGCACGGGGGGCACGGGCCTCGGGGCCATTTTCCAGGCTTTCCCTATAAACTATTTGTATTGTCCTGGGTGTTTCCTAGTCTCTGTCTCCATCCAATCAACCCTTCATTTGTCCCTGCATGTCTGTCAGTTGGAATGGAAAAATTCCCCCGCACACCAGCTCTTGAGAATGTTCCTGGTAACCTACAATTAACCTCCCCCAATCACTCCATAATCTGGTATAATTGCATTTTTCAGAGATTGTGCAATGATGTTGAGAGGGAGAACGGCAGAACTCAGCGTGTGTCTCTGAGACCTGGCACTGTTTTCTTCTGGGCCTCAGTGTTCCCATGTCTAAAATGGGGGCAGCAGCAATTGCTTCTTCTGGAAGGGATCTGGGGTATGCATGGTACAAGGGCCATATCCGTGACCTCCAACCTGCCTGGCTCTGGGCCGCCTTCTCCCTGACACTTCCCACATTCTTTTGCTCCGTCCACCTCCCCTCCATTATCCCACACCAGTCCATCCCATGGCATCTCCTTGGTCCTCCATCTGCTGACCTCAAGGTCCCAGACCTTGGGGTCACATTTGATGCTTTCTTCTCCTGCCGTCCTCCCATTCTGTCTATGGGCATGGGGACGGGGGAGGGGAGAAAGCATTGTCCTTGGAAGCAGGAAGACCTGGGCTCGAATCCCGCCATAGACACGCAGTAGCTTTGTGACAGTGGGCACCGCCCCCCAGGCCACTCTCTCTGGCTCCTCTAAGACCTTCTGCTTAAGGGGGCTCTCGAGCCAGCCAGGTCTCTTTCCTTTCCAGGCTGCTTCTCCCTGTCTTTGTCTGTCTCCTTCTCTCCTCTGTCTCTTTGTCTGTCTCTGCCTGTCTCTCTATCTCTGTCTTCTCTCTCTCTCTCTCTCTCTCTCTCTCTCTCTCTCTATATATATATATATATATATATATATATATATATGTATGTATATATCTATGTATATATCTATCTATATATATATGTATGTATGTATGTGTATATATATATGTATGTGTGTATATATATATATATATCCTCTCTCTCCACCCCTCTTTCTGTATCTGTCTCTGTCTCTGTCTCTGTCTCTCTCAGTCTGACTCTCTCCCCCACCCCATCTTTCCATCTCTGTGTCTCTCTGTCTCTCCATATGTGTGTGTGTGTGTGTGTGTGTGTGTGTGTGTGTGTTTGTCTCTCTCTATTTCCCCTCCCCAACTGAGTCAGGAGTCAGAGGACCTGAGTTTGAATGTCCACTGGGCCACTTACTAGCTGTGTGACCCAGGGCACATCATTTTCCTGCTCTGGGCCTCAGGATTCCCCCTCCATAAAATGAATTTCAGTCCTCTGAGATCCTTTGTTCTGTCCCGGCTCTGGGGAAACTCTGTTGCCTTGACCCTTCTGTCCCCATCTTTGCCCTGGAGGGAGCGCCCACTACAGATCACGGAGCAGCCCCGTTGTGTTCCCGGAGTTTCTAAGTCGGTTTTCTGGAGCTCAGAACACATTTTCCCCATAGAACACACAGGCCTTCAGCAAACAAACACCTTAGACTGCCTTCTCTGTACCAGGCACCGTGGTAGAATGGACTGAGGCTATCTGCTGTGGTGGGGTTCCCAGGCTAGCCCATGGGAGTCACAGACCCAGAGGAGAAAGAAGGACCTTAGAGATGATCAAGTCCATGCCTTCTCCCTTATTTTACAGATGGGGAAACTGAGGCCTAGAGAAAGGAAAAGGACTGGCCCAGGGTTACAACTAAGTGCACGAGGTGGGATTCGAACCCAGGTCTTCTGGAGGTCAAGTCTAGTAGTGCTCTCTCCGATGTCCTTTTGAAGATCTCCGCAAGTGTGGATGAGTTCTCGTCCGGCCTGAGTGACCGCTGGTCCTTCAGCCATCTCAGAGCTCACAGCCACCCACCCCCCAAGGGGCAGTTCTCATTAGGGTGGGGCCTTGTGGAATTGCCTTGGGGCTGGGGAGAAGGCGTGGGGCAGAGGTGCCCTGATGACACGGAAAGAGCCCCAGCCGAGGAGTCAGGAGACAAGTGTGAGCCCCAGTGTGGATGCTGACAGAAGGACAGAGAGATGCTGGCCTTGCTTTGGGTCTCAGCTTCCCTGTTTATAAAACGGGCAAGGGGCAGCCAGCCCGGGTGATCCTGGAGCATCCTCACATCCTGCAGGATTCTGAACGACCACAGGCGAGCTTGGCATGGGAAGGGCAGGAGCCCTCAGGGCCCGTCCCCTCATTTTCAGATGAGGTGCCTGAGGCCCAGAGAATGCCAGCACCTTGCCCAGCGCCCCTCAGCGCACTAGCCCCAGCCCCAGGCCCTCTGATTCTGCCTCAGCCGTGCTGACTCTTCTGCGTCTCCAGGACCGGGGGGCTATGGCCGGCCAGGCTTGCCCCGTGTGCCCAGCCCCTCTGGCCTCGAGGTGGCTGCCTGCTCCCTACCTGCTTGGTTGTGGTGGTCCTCCTTCCATCCTGAGGTCTCCCCCAAGAGACCCCAGCTGGAAGAAGTCTCTGAGGACATCTAGTCTAGTCCCCTTGTATGACAGATGAGGAAACTGAGGCACAGAACAGACAAGCCATGTGTCCAAGGTCATGCTGGGAATCAGAGGCAATATCAGGATTGGGACTGAGGGCCTGGGACTCTGAGCCCCCGCTGCTCCTGCTACTTATCTGACAGCCCCCATCCTCTTCCTCATCGTCAAGCCTGCCACAGGCCGCTGCCCTCCCTTGGGAGCAGCTGGGACAGGCACAGGGCTGGCTGACCAGCAGAGGATTCTGACTTCCTGGAAGGAGCTGGGCAGGGAGGGGTGACCCCCCCCCCAGCTGGCCTCTCGAGGACACAGTGAGTCACACTGACCAAGGAGTTTTGGGCCCCCATCCCAGCTCCCTCCTCCTCCTCCTCCTCCTCCTCCTCCTCCTCGCACGCCTCAGTGAAGCATGGCCAAGGACAGACACACAGCTGGGCAAGGAGAGCCTCCCTGGCCTTGGGAGAGACTAGTGACCCCCACAGAGGCTTTGAAGCCCTGACCCTCCCCTCCGTCTTCTTGACAGCTCCCAATTGCCACCCATCAACCTTATCTCTTCTCTGTGCACACGAGGCTTCAATGTTTCTCACCCTCCTCCCTCTCTCTCTCTCTCTCTCTCTCTCTCTCTCTCTCTCTCTCTCTCTCTCTCTCTCTCTCTCTCTCTCTCTCTCTCTCGTCCTCCAGGGTAGGGGAAAGCTCTCCCAGAGTTGGCCTTCCCTCTTACTTCCTTCCCCTAGCTCCAGCCCAGATGGTCAGGCCCACGGCAAGGATCTCCCAAATGGGGGATAGTCTAGTTGAGTTTTCCATTCTTGGCCAGAAATTCCCAAGTCAAAGGCTGTTGGTGGTGGAGGAGAGAAGTGCATTAGTGGGGTAGGGGCCCCCCAAAGCTACCCAGCAAATTTCTCTTCTTCCCCTTCCAAGTGGCGGCCTTCAGGCCCTCTGTGGGACCATCGAGCTGACTGAAGAGGCAAATGCCTGCCACAGAAGCTGCTCTGGCCCTGGGCTCCCACCATTCTCCACCTGGTCTCAGCTCAGATGTGTCCCAGAGACAACGTCACCACTGCCTCTCTGGGCCAACAGACAGGAGCAGCGGGGATGTGTGGCAAAGGTAGAATTGGAGTAAGAGGGCCAATGTCTAGTAGACATCTTCAACTCAATACACTCAAAGCAGAGCTCATTCTCTCTCCCCCAAACCCTCCCTTCTTCCTCCCTTCCTTATTACTAGAGAGGGCACCACCCTCCTGCCAGCCCCTCAGGCTCCCAACCTGAGTCATCCTGGACTCCTCACCATCTCGCACCCCCCAGATCCAACATGGCGCCAAGGCCTGTGGATTGCACCTCCGCAGCATCTCTCAGATCTGCCCCCACCCTGGGGCAGACCCCCATCATCTCCCACCCGGACTATGGCAACAGTTGCTGGGGGGGCCTGCCTGCCCCTCTCCCCACTCCAGGCCGCCCTTCATTCAGCCACCAAAGTGATTTTCCTACAGTGCGTGTCCAATCATGTCGCTCCCTATTCAGTAAACTCCAGGATCATGTACAGAGTCCTCTGCTTG